AGTGATTGTAATGGAACAGCTTCTAGTTTTCATTAAGTTTAAGAAGGAAAGAGAAGTGTTAATGTAGTATTAGTATTTAGAAATTGGGGAGAAAATTACTTTCATTGTCAACCATGAATATCATGAGTATCTGCTCTTGTATTATTGGTATGGCTGGGGGGCTAGACAAATGATTTTGAATTTTTCTACCTATATTTGAATGTTTATCTAACGAAAAAGATAGGAACTCAGGTTTCTTGTGTAGCAGTAAGGATATAGCAAATGGACCATCTAAATTATTCTTTCCAAAGCCCTTATATATTGAAAAGGGAAAATAAGATCAAAAGTTTCATGTTTATCCTAGTTCTTAATTTTAAATCAGTGTTTCAGTTCAGTTTAACAAATGTCATTGACTGTCTTTCTACCCTGGCTCAGGCTCAGGGATGATAAATGTCTGAGACATTATCTCTGTCCTTAAGGTTATCTGCTTAGGTTCTTTATGTGGTGTTTACATTCTTTATCCTTTGGGTAATCATTGAATGCACTGCATAGGTGTACATAAATGATTTAATACTTTAATAGTAATACAAAGATTTCAGATATCTTTGCTCACTGGACTTACTATATTTATCATTTATGACCTGATTCTGAAATTTAGAGCAAAATTATTATTGTTATATAACATTAGATTAGTATTACAATTAAAGTATAATATATTCCTTTTTATGGTGATAGGAGCTCTGGTAGCATAGTGCCTAAGACATTTGACTGCTAACCAGAAAGTTGGCTGTTCAAACCCACTAGCTACTCGTCAGAAGGGAGATGTGTATCTTGGGGGAATGTTGAGTATTAAATAAATTAATACATGTACTTAAAATAAATGTCTGGCAGAGGAAGTATTTAACAGCTATGAGTCAGAATTGACTCGATGTCATTGGGTAGTTTTGCATTATTATTTTACTTTATAATATATATTTTGTTTTCCTCAAGTGGAAAAAATAGCTTTCAACTATTTTTCTTCTTGTAGTAAACTTCTGTATACATTTCCAGGATGGAAAGTTGGAGTGACAGCTCTGCAGCAGGTTTGTATTTTCTGTTATGTCAAAGAAGAAACAAAGTTAGTACAATCTTCCAGTTTCAGAAGTCAACTATATTTTTAGACCTAAAAATGAAATAATATGTAACTTAATTTACCTTTACAACTGATAGACTGAAAAAATAGTGTTTTGGAAATGTGATTGAAAACAAGTAGTGCCTTTGCCTATAAACTTTTATGGAAACCTTAATGTTTGGAATTGGGCTCTAGACCTGTGGTTATGATGGAACTTGTGTTTCCCAGTCATTTTGCAGTCATGTAGTGCAGTGCCTTGTGCACAGTGGAGGTGGGTTGTTCTGCAAAGTAAGGGAGCTTAAAGGTCTTACAGAGAAGTTTGTCAGGATGTTGAGATTTGTGATTTGGAATAATGGGGTCAAAATCTTTGTGTTTGATTCATCACTGGACTCCTTTGAAAAAGAACTGTCTTCAAACCTGTTTAATGAATGAATATATATAACCAGAGAATCTAGCGTGTATGTTAGACACATGCTACCATATATCCTTGTCTTTATGAAAACCTATTGCCTATAACTGCCTAATTTATATGCATTTCATGTCCTTTCTCATTACCATCAACCTTACTCAAATCTTCCCTTACTCAGAAGATCCCAGAGATGTTAGATGATTAGTTCTCTCCAGGGTGTTAACTGGACGTTGATCTGTGCTAAAATAGAGAAACTCATAATAGAGCCTGTATAGAAGACCATTATAAAAATGAAGATAAGAATATAGAACATTAGATCTAGAAGAGACTAACTGCAGGTTATTTTGCCTTTTAGCATATTTTATAGTTTTGATTTTTTTCTTTCTATTTCACTTGCATTAAAAATTGCACATTTCCTTGGTACCAAACCAAAACCAAACCCACTACCACTGAGTCAATTCTGACTCATAGTAACCCCCACTGGGTTTCAGAGGTGGTAAATCTTTATGGAAGTAGATAGCCCAGTCTTCCTTCCATCCACAGAGTGGCTGGTAGGTTTGAACCACCAGCCTCCTGGTTAGCAGTCATATGCCTTAGGCACTGCGTCATCAGAACTCTGGTACCTACATGCGTATGGTGAGTCATTAATACGTTTTCTAGGAATCGTGCCCTTTTTCTTTGTCCACCCTGACAGTAATCTGTAGTGATTTCACACATCGGTTTCCTTTTCTATTATGTCAGCTATGTTTTGAGGATGGGGACTGGGAAATAACTTGGATAAATCATTCCTAAACACTAAAGTGCTAAATAGTAATTAAGGTGTGCCAAAATGGTAGTATTTATTGTTTTTGCCATGTTTAAAAAGACATTCTGTTACTTCATTTGATAACACATGAATAATAACACATACCATCAGGATTATTCAAGCTGTTTTTATTAAGAAAATAGTAAGTTTAGTAATTTAATTTCAGGCACCAGCGGTGGATGTGGTTGCAGTGGGTCTTGTATCAGGTCAGATTATCATTCATAACATTAAGTTTGATGAAACATTAATGAAGTTTTGTCAAGACTGGGGACCTATTACTTCAATTTCATTTCGCACAGGTAACTTTTAACTTACTAACTGATAAAAGTATAGGACATTTAATCTAACAGAAATAAATGAAATACTACCAAAGTAGAGGGAACCAAAGGAATATGATTAGAATAGTGGTGTGTTTTATATATCATGGGTGTACCTTTTCTAATTTTATATTTATGAATTACAATGATGGAGAGAATTGTTGACTTTTGTTGTTTGGGAGTGCTTATGGGAGTCAGCATGAGTCAGAGTCAGTTTAGCAGCAACTAGTCAGAGTCAGTTTAGCAGCAATTACTCTTTTAAGTGTTTTTCTTAATTTGTTTTATTTTAATAACAGATGGTCATCCAGTAATGGCAGCTGGAAGCCCATGTGGCCATATTGGACTCTGGGATCTCGAAGAGAAAAAATTAATAAATCAAATGAGAAATGTACATTCTACAGCAATTGCCGGACTGACATTTCTCCATAGAGAGCCACTTCTTGTTACAAATGGTGCTGACAATGCGCTCAGGGTATTATGATTATTTTATCACCTTATAACTGACCATCTAACCTACCTTTGGATTATTACAAGCCTGCTGTAATGTATCAGCCTTGAACCTAGAAGATGAATATGGGGTGACATATCAGTATAGATGGAACAAAAAGCACAATGGGTGACAAAGAGAAAAAAGTGGCAGCTTGTTAATATTACCACTATCCCAGCCCAACCCTTACTCCCCCTAGCTTGCAGAGAGCACATTATGGAAGAACCTTACCTTTTTATTTCTTGGTAGATATGGATATTTGATGGTCCTGTAGGTGAAGGCCGGCTTTTGAGATTCAGAATGGGACATAGTGCTCCTCTTACCAAAATCAAGTATTATGGACAAAATGGACAACAAATTCTTAGTGCAAGTGAGTTTCTCCTTTATGCTGTTATTCTAGCAAGTATTTATTGAAAGCTGCATGCTCAGTATTTCATTAGATTTGGTATTTACACCATTTTAGATTAAAATGCCCCTTTAGAGCTCTGGTGGCATAGTGCCTAAGGCATTTGACTGCTAACCAGAAGGCTGGTGGTTCAAACCCACCAGCCACTCCTTGGAAGGAAGATTGAGCAATC